GAATGGAGTTCCAGTTCTCTCTCGCGGGAGTTCAGTCAGTCTATTCGGATCTCGAAATGATCTTGCCCCGACAATAATAAATGGCATTCTACAGAGTGGTTCTATAACGTTGCATGCAAGTTACAGCATATTATTCCTTTGATAATTGCAGAAAATATTTCCTTAGTGGAAAAATTTTGTACTTTTTTTTTTATCCTTTTATATACGAATAATTTCAGATTTTTAAGGGAAGATTTTTAAATGTTTAAAAAAAAGATTTAACGATTGTAAGAAAATTTTGAAGTATAAACACACTTAAATATAAGCGCAAGTCGATAAGAATCCGTTAAATATTTCTATCTGCTGAAAATAAATTTTTATAGATTTTTATACCGTTGGGATATGTGCTTTCTTTTTCTTATCGTTTCCATTATGATTGTCGGCGGATATTCCAGGTACGTGCAAATACTTTAAGTGAGGCGCGTAAAAACGAATATTGATCAGTCCGAATGGCGGCGCGAGCTTTCAGGGACTCCATTTTTCCAGATCATGGAGCACCTCGAGTGTCATTTCCCTGTCGTGCGGAGTCTGCTGGAGTAAATCATTTTCGCGCGGCTCACAGTTCACGTCTCTCTCTCCATAAAAAGAAATTAATTTATTAAAGAAATAGTTTTACGCGTACTTTGAAATGGATAATTTTGTGGCGTCAGTTTTATCGTATATTTTCTCAGACGTCTCTTAGATGGCGGGGATCTATATTTAAAATATATTTACAATCTTACAGTTTTTCCTTGAGTAAGATTTGTTTTAATTCATACTTCTCTGTATTCTTTGTAAAGGTTAAGAACTTGCGTCTGCTTTTTGGCCATGCATTTCCTTAAAGATAAATTTCAATTTTCCGACTTTATGACTATTTGAAATAATATTTTCTATAGATATTTTTCTTCGATCCATGTATGAGCCCAGCAATCTCGAAAGATTTATTTTTCATTAACATTTATTTCTACTTATTAAGCAGAATATGTGCATACAGATTGCTCGTTTTAATAGAGATTATAATAGAGAGATAGAGAGATCTTCTGAGGTTTATGAAAGACTACAAGCTTGAAGAGAGGGATTTGACATTCTGAGGTGTTCTATGCGTCTCTGCGACAGAGGGATTTCACGACATTATTGGGTTTATACACGATGCAACGCGCATACTCGCGTATGCTGCGAGCACTCTGCAGGCACCATACTGCTCGCAAAGTACTCCATCACGTTTCGAGTCTATCTCTTCTGTTTGAGATTTTGGTGCTAGGCACTCGTGCCTCGAGACAGACAGAACCATTTGGTGTCCTTGAATAATACAACGACCTCGTTTCGCTCGTACATTAGGATATGGGAGTATAATTGTTTCGGTCGTCTTACGTATATGTATCATTTCGTTAATTAATTAGGCCGACCGGCATAATGTCGGCTACGCGGTGCACCGCCTAATTTCGTGGGCCAAAATGTCTCGCTGAAATTATAACTTGTCTGAACGCGTTCTCTCGTTGCAGAGAAACGCCGCACGTGAAACGAAAGTTAATCTAGTAACAATGCAGGTCGATGATGATTTTTTTCATTTTTTTTTGCTTGCGAGAACGTATAAGAATATAAGGTATACCATTTCCGTGGATGTTCACACACATTATTATTAGATATCAAAAAAGCAATGATAGTCCCTTGAATAACATTTTGTTATTTTTAATTTCTATGTGTGTCAAAATGTAAAGCAATCCATCTCTCTGTGATTAGTTTTTAAGTAAAATAATGTTCAAATTAATGTATTCTCTAAAACTTTTGGAATCTCACTCTGAAGAGTGAAATATCACTCTTAAAGATTGAAAGTTAAATCTCTTCTTCTAGTTCAATTCTTACTCTTTAGAATGAGATTTTACTTCAAAGAATTTCGAGAATACTGCACTCTTATAATTAGTAAATTAATAAATAATAAACTAAATTTAAGTCAAATTTAATGCATCTTCTTAAGTTAAATTGTTTAACTTGATATACTTATTTTAATTAAATTAACGACATATTGAATGAGAGCAGTTACGAGATCTAAATAGAAATGATTAAAAATAATTCAAATTGGATATAATTTGACATTAATTTGAATTTAATAGTGCAATCGTCCAACATACTGCTCTTTGATCAATTAAAAATTTGCCCCAAATTGCAAAAATGCAATATGATAGCTATCAGTGATATACATTACGTGAAAAGATGTTTTAATCATTTTCTGTGACCTCTGATTCGCATCAGAAGAATCGCCGAGTGCGGACATAAAATTTTTAAAAGTTTCTAACGAATTCGTAACTATACATTTTGTTACTCAAGAAATTCCTTGAGCCGTATCCTCTTCAAGTTCTTCTGAAGGCCGTTTAACAGAGAAGTTTGTGACTTTTAACTAAAAGATTCAATTTGTTATTTAAATTTATTAGAAACGTAAAGATTTTCTAATAATTTCTTTATATTCCTCCTGCTAGTTTTGGGGCAAAAATTTCATTGATTCTATTATCTGCCGCCATGATACACGCAATAGTATACCTTATATTATTATATACGCAGAAATATATCATTTATTCATAGTACGTATATCAATATGAAGCACGCGAGGGATTAACGCGATATCGGAAGAACGAGAAAAGCCTTTTTATGATCAGCTCGCTTTGGCTACGCACAAAATTTGTACACCCATTTTACGCTTTTTCTCTGATTAATCGCACTGGTTTGGAGTTTGATCGATGTTTAACGAGAACACTTACGTGTCTGACGCTTTAATCGCACCTTCTCGTCTGCCTCGAGTATCTCGTATTTCGATCGCGTTGAGAGGCAAGTTGTTTGCGCTTCGAAGACGCGCGGTGTATATCTTCGGCGCAGCTCGTTCGTTACTCGGTGCACATTCCTAAGAATATTTTACACTATTTTGCACTTTCTTCGTATTGAATGACAATCGTATATCTGAAAATTAGCTACTTTTCCATTAGTCAACGATTACATAACTGCTGCAGTGAAAAAAAAAAAAAGATTGGCTGCTGCAGCAAATTAGATGGTAAAGTATTTAAGGCATAGCATTTTTAATTGATTGCAGCAGCAGTCAATTTTTAATTGCGTTAGCCTGTCGGAATCCTACACGCAACTGACGTTGCAGCTAGGCTAACGCAAAAATTGGCTTCTGCAGCTAATTAAAAAGACTGGCACATATTTTACCATCTAATTTGCTGCAGCAGCCAATCTTTTTTTCAGTGTGCGTAAAATAATCTTAGGAATTCAGAAGCAGCGGAACAGAGGGCGAAAAAATTTGAATAAAAGAGAATAGAAATAAAAAAATCTACGTCGCATTTTTCAACTTTTGTGTCGCGAACTTCTCGGTTGCTGCAACGTTTCAACGTTAATGATAAATTCGAAAAAATTCTCATCACTTTCTAGACATGTAAGTCATTTTTATCATTTTACGAAGACAGTGCAAAATTTATGTTAAATACACGAGAGTGGCGGCGTTGCTCGTTTAGTTTTACTGGCCCGAAGCGTCGCTTGATTTAATATTTATCCCTTCGTTATGGCCGCGTTTTTTTTTTTTATATCAGATATTCGCGAAAATGGCCTGTAAGAGCTCATGCCTCTCACAAAGCGAAATTCCATGTTTTTAAATGCAGAATTATTAAGCGCGCTTTTTCGTGCAGAGAGAAAGAAAGAGAAAAAGAGAGAGAAAGAGAGAGAGAGACGGTCTCTCGAGCGACGAAATTATTTGATATCTGAACTCGCGCGCGCGCGGCTTAATTTATTTAAATTTATTAAAACGATACAACGTCTTGCAATTCACGTATAAAGAGCAGCGACGCCTCAAAGCGAACGCCGCGGTAACGGATGATCGATTTTTTTATCAAAGATCTCGATTTTCATGGTTTATCGTGAAATCGTAACGACATTGCGCGAGATATTTATTTCAAGAGTAGTATATAAGCTGCTTTCCTAACAGGCTGATATACATAATACCCTTTTTCCACTATACGTCAATTTTCACGAATCAGTTTATCCGATTAGGAAAAGCAATATTTTCAAATTATTTCTTTCATGATAAACGTGATGAGAGGAAAAATCAAAATCTCTTTTTTTCTATTATTTATATATTTGCTGCAATGTTTCTTTTGCGTTCTGTCTGTCTCTACCAATTCGATTAATATATATATATATAAGAGTTTAACACATACACATATAATATACATACACGGTACATTTGTTAGAGGAAGGGAAGAAGTTTTAAAATAAAAGAAAGAAATTTAGAGAGGTAGGGAAGCAGGCGACTTAAAAAGAAAACTCGGGGACGACGAACGCGCGAAATTAACGAGAGTGAGATCAGGATCGGAGGATCCAAGGATACAGAGGGATCTTATTTGCATCTGCGAGGAGTTAAATGTCCGACGACCCCAGGGGACTCAAGACCTCGGGGATCTTAGAATCCAAGGATTCGAGAAGCCGAGTATCTGTAGGTTCAAGATTCCGAAGATCGAATGTCTCAAGATCGTAGGACTCGGTGATCTAGAGATCTCAGAATTTCCAAGAATTCGAGAATCCAAAGATTCAAAGACCCAAAAACCGGGGGATCCGTCCGCAGTTCTGGTCCGTGGATTCGAGGATTCGACTTGATCCTGGAATCCGAGAGACTTCCACGGAGAGTCGAATGCCCTACCCGAGTATCCAAGGATCCGACGACCCTCGAAAAAGACGCTGTAGAGACAAACAAGAAAAAAAAAAAAAAAAAAGTAATCCACGTAAAGTACCACAAAGCGAAAGCAGCACGGAAACGGCATAGAAGTAACAATAACGTAATCGCAAAATAACATGACGAAAAAAAAAAAAAAAAATCAGATAAAATAAGAACGGAAAAAAAAAAAAGAAAGAGAGAGAAACGAGTCGCCGGCGACCGGGCGACTCGCCGCGTCGTGTCGGGAAGCCAACAGTTGAAAGTGACTTGTCTTGTGTTGATGTTGCAGGTTCAAAAGCCTGGCACATGCGGCTGACCTTTGACCGGGTGCCAGGCGGCTGCAACCTTCACAGGTGCAAGCTGTGCGGCAAGGTCGTGACGCACATCAGGAACCACTACCACGTCCACTTCCCCGGCAGGTTTGAGTGTCCTCTCTGTCGTGCCACGTACACACGTAGCGACAACCTGCGCACGCACTTTAAATTCAAACATCCCGAAGCGAGAAAGATCGATCTTAATGATTTCATGACGGGCTCGTTGGCGCTCTCAGCGAGCAACGATACTATGAACACTCTATCCTAAAGACGCCGGAAGAGACGAAAAAAAGAAGATAAAAAGATATATATATATTATATATATATATATATTTAATATATATTTAATATATATTAAATATATATTTAAATATGCATATACATATATATTGAAATATAATATATATAACATACGCGCGCGCCCCAAAAATTATATATATATATATATATATATATAAATAATGGAATACATATTGAGAGCGCGGGTGGCCGCAGCCACGGAGGGGGTGGTATTCCGCGTACGGCGAAAATGCGGCCCTGAAGTTTACGGCCATTGGGGGGAAAAGGGCCGATCTCTCTCGGCTTTTCTTCTTTCTCGAACACCAAATCTTTTGTAGGTTCTACGCTTAAGGGATACCGAGAATTTCTCCTGTAGGGGTCTTTTTTAACAAACGAAAATCGCAAAAATAGTAAAAAAAATATGGAACAGTAAAGATTAATATACGGCGACGTGTACAGTTTAGTGTGCGGTGACTTTTTTTTTTTTGGGAGTGGGCTTGTTTGTAGCTAACGTCGAAGCGCTGTGAGGGCTAAGTTCTTTTTTTTTTCTTTTTTTTTTTTCCCCCTTCCACGAGGTGCCGAGGAGCGGAGGTGAAAAACGTAGTCGCGATCTCGAGGTTGATGCTCCGCGTTGCGATGGCCGGGAAGTTTCACCGTGATCGTGAAATCCAATTCGATTTGTCTTGCCGGACGAAGAATGCTCGTTAACGCGCGACGGTGACAATGGCGATGGGACGACAACGCGTTGCTGTTCCTCCGACTTTTCGAAAGATCGAACTAGAGACCTCTTAATAAGAGTCTGGGTGGCCAGTTTTGATTGGTCCACCATGTTTTGTCAATTTGAGAGAGAGAGAGAGAGAGAGAGAGAGAGAGAGAGAGAGAGAGAGAGAAGAAAAAGATGAAGAGAGAATGGATATCTTCTTCTGCATAATTTTGACGAAATCCCTTCGTATCCAAACTTTTATCGTCTACAGTGGGAGTAATATTATGTAGTGAGTTCTAAACTGTAAAAAATGAACCAATCATATTGGATTATTTTCTTCACATTTGACTGTGATTGGTTAATTTCTTATGGCTTGCAACTTATTACGATATTACTTTTTATGTAGGTAGTCTTTTAGAGAATCTCTAGATCGAACTAGAGATCCTATAACAGAATCTGGCCACAATTTTGTCAAAACGATTATGAGAAAGATAGATGTGTACACTGTTCTCTTTTTACGTATAGTACCTCGTTTCAACTTGTACTATCTCATTCATTCTCAATAGTGTACCCTACAAGGTAGAGTCCGGCCACTGAACATGATTGTTTTCATTGGTCGATCCTAAACCCTCTCAAAATAACGTACATTCAAAGAACAGACGTTCCACATTTACACCGTACACACACACATTCGTACCAGATTCACACGATATTAGTGTACGACCATTTCGTGTTGCGTGGTCAGACTGTATTAGAGGGACTCTAATTCTGAATTTGCTGAAATTGACAAAAATGACAGGGCAATCAAATGTTTGTCATCTCGTGGCTGGATTTTATTACCTGGTCTCTAAATCGAAATGAATGAGGCCGCGAAATTGCCCCTTTTCGCCTCGAATTGCTTAACATCTCAAATTCTTCGATCTCCCACGCAATCTTTCCGAGTCTCTCGTATTACGAGGCGGCGGTAGTCGAGGTAGAGTAATCCGAGTGTCGTTTTTCGATCGCTGTCACCGTCGATCGATCGCGATCGATCCGAGACGAGCCGTATTGCTTAGCGCAGGTCGCTTTTTTTTTTTTTTACCAACTGCCGCGTAAGAGAAGATACCTCTCCGCTTTTCGCGCGGGGAAAACCGTCGTGTTTACGCTCGCGTTTTCGTTGATCCGATCGACGATCCAATCCAATGTATCATGAGCGCTCGCGTGCGTCAACCTCGTGTGCACGTCGGCCGCGTCCACGTCGCGACGATGTGTCCAAAGACCGGGGCAGCTCTTTATCTTTTCTCTTTTTCTCGCGATGAGAAAAAAAACGAGCGCTGCATCGATCGCCGATAATTTTTAGCGAGTGTCCGCGCGATTAAAACGATATAATGTATACCGTTCGCGCGATTGGTGTGTGTGTGCGCGCGCGCGCGGATTTAATTACATAATATAAATACATATATAAATATATATAATATATAAAATGGGAGCAAACGTGGTGCCAATTTCCTCCCGTAGATGCTGCTGCCGACCGATCGGGACGGCGAGACGGCAGCCGGAAAGAATATTAATGAATCAATTAATTATAATGATATCTATTAATTATAAAGCTGAGTCGGTGGGAGTAATTCATTCGATACGCAGGGTGAATCGTATAGTTGTTGAAGAGTTTATAGTTGGACTTCATATTAGATTGTAATCGTTACCAGTCTTTTGGGAACCAGTAGCAATATTAACCTACGCACGCGAGTTACACGCAAGTATACACACACACACACACACACGCACACACACGCACACACGGACTGTTTACATCCTGGCCTTTCACACGCGGCTACACTCGGGAGCAGTTCTCACGAAGGGTGAGAAGGGTTCGGCACCGCGAAAAGGGACAACACGCATCAGCGACACACGCAGAGACACGCGTATACACCCTCACACGCAAGTAAACACGCAAGTAAACACGCAAACAGCAAATCGAGCGACAACGATATCTCTGTCCTTTATGCACACGTTCGTAAAATTTTGATAATAAACGTTACGTTTAGCGCGCTTTGCAGTCCTAATATGAACTTTGACTATAAAACGCACGTTACTTGTTAATTAACACCTAAAGTTTATAATATTAACGGTTAAGCCGCACGCCGCGCTGTTATAACGCGCGATCGCGAGGATAAATAGTGGAAATCACGGAGACATTCCACGATTCGGGACTTAAGTGCGTAGGCAACAAATAAGGTTTTACTTATATTGGATGATTTATAGAGTACTATATTTTATACTTTATATAACCTACCACACACTAATAATCTACATTTCTACATCATTGGTTGGAGATATAGTTACGTTAAAGATTAATTTTATTCAAGGGATGGTCACGATACTCGTATCGTCATTGCACATTGATATTTAATTGGTTGAGGTGCAATCTGTTTGTTCTTTTTTTCTTCTTTGTTCGTTTGTTTTTATTTTTTCCTTCATACATCGCGAAATTTACGTGTAACGTATATATATATATACATACATATTATAACCATGGTTTTACAAGGAACGCGGATGAATGTACGTCAAGCTCAGGAGCAATTAGGAAACCATTTTTTTTTTTTCGAACGCCATCATCCAACGGCTGTCCGATGATTTTCAAGTGTCCAAGATCGGTCTGCGCGTTTAGGCGTAAATGTATCTCGATCATTTCGACAACGCGCCTGAATTTCAACGTTCTGCGAAATCGTTCAAAGAAATGATCTCCTAATTATCTTCAGAGCGACGTCTTTACATATTATTACACATGCACACGAGTGAAAAAAAAAAAAAAATAGGAGGCGCCTCGCAGGATAGGCGCGGGACACGCAACAGGGATAGAAAGAAAGCTTTCCTTTAATCGAACGCGAAAGCGCAGCGACCCCATAGCGTCCAATGTCTCAGACAGTTCGCCGAATATAATTTGAAGAGGTCTTCCCCGCTTCGCGGACGAGATCCAAATCGATTGCTAATCTGCGGAGCTGGCAAACCAAATCCGACGCCAAAGTCGTGGGTCAGATCGAAAACACTTTCTGCGTTTTAAACGTTAAATGATAAGAGCGACCCCCTTTCTCCTCCCACCCTTCGGCGATCTCAGATTTTTCGGCTAGCACACTTTTTCACCATTGAATCTAGAAAATACAATAGATTAAAAAGTTACTTGGCGCATAGATGCAGAAAACTAATCGCCTATTTTACGGGGGGTGGGGGGGGGGGGGGTCGCTAGAAGACACACACGCATACATAACATTACACACGAAGAGAAACACGTACGTACATACGGAAACGCAGAAACCCCCATAGCTATTCAAAGAGCCAAACCGCAATATTGTGATGAAATGATATTACCGTCGATCTTCTCTCTTTTTTGCAAAAAAGGGGCACTTTGCATAGTTAAGGCTACCGAACACGCATATACCTATAATTTAATAATATATAACCAGAATATTAATATATTATTGCAGATTATTAAGTATATATATTAATATATTGGATAATTTATTTTATTTTGTTTTATCGTTTTATGATTTTATATATATGTTATTCACTGTTTATATATACGCAGGCGCAACATTATATTGCAATACGCGACACACGCAAGGTTTATTTATTGATAGGGGCGGGTTGAATCGTGTTAAGGTGCACCTGCAGGCCTACCTCCTTGGCTGAGAAATCACAACTCCGATCAACTTCTCTTCTTTCTCTCTTTGCCTTGCTTTTTTTTTTTTTTTTCAAAGTCTTCGTCCTCTCCGCTACAGCTCCGCGCTAGTTTAGAAACGTCTATTAATTATAATCGCCTAACGTCCGTCGCGCCTATTATTGCCACAAAGTTGAGTCCTCCAGCTCCGATCAATATACTATATATACGGACATTCTCGACAGATGTTTATCGAGCGTTTTTTTTTGGTCTATATCAATATTTGTGTTTTTAGATGTCTTTTGAAATCTACGCGAAGTACATATCGCATTATTTAATGAATAGGAATTTTATAAACAGCATGAAACTTTTTATTCTGCGATTAAAAAAATCAGTACGATGTTCTTGTCGTACGATAATTTAGGAGTTGATTGCAATTTCTCCGGCTCCAGATGAGTTTATAATCGCGAGATGAGTCGTCTCTGCTGCGCAGAGGGCGAGAGGGAAAGCGAGAGAACGTCAGAGAAAATCGAACCGCGAAAGAAGCGGAGTCTGGAGGAGGATCAGAGAACGACTTTTACGAGCAATGCGAGCGATTCTTTCAACAATTCCGTCCTCCGTGCGAAAACGAGGGGTACTCAAAGACGCCATATAACGTTCATTAA